TTTTTTTTTTTTTTTTTATGTATGTTACCGCATAACTTTGGACCACGTCAACCGATTTCGATAATTCCGACTTAAAAAATATATATATATTTATATATTTCATGACCCAATCATTGGATCTAAACCAAATTAGTATGGGACCACCTCTGAGACACTACCTTTCCGATGCAAAAAGAATTATCGAAATCGGTTGACGTGGTCTAAAGTTATGCGGTAACATACATTAAAAAAAAAATATATATATATATATATATATTCCGACGAACTGATAACCTCCTCCTTTTTTGGAAGTCGGTTAAAAATGACATGGCTCGATAATATCAAAGAATGGACCGGCCTTAAAACAATTGGCGAATTAATAAATGCAGCTAGACACAGACAAAAGTTCCAAGAAATAATAAATAACCTGACATGATACCTGCGGACGCAGGATCAGCATTTTTGTTTTGTATGTAATCGCGAACATCCAGCATTGGATACGCAGAAGATTTAAATTTTAAATCTAAATCTAATTCTAAGAATGTTAAATCCTTGTTGTAATATAAGTCTAACAGACTGTAAAAAAAAATAAATAAATAAAAATAACACCTTTAACCCTTAGGTCGGATGAAAACCTCCGAGTTATTCCGGTGCGTACTGCTGTAATTTGTTATCTATGCTTTCAACTCCGAATTTCACGATATATCACTTTCAAGGAGATATTTGCAGAGTTATAAGGCAGCCTGTATAAATTCCCCTGTCTATTGAGGTATTTGAATCATACAATAAAATAACGTAAAAAAAAATATTTTTTTAAAAACAAGCTTTTATTTAACATGTAGAATCCAAGGAATAAAATAAAGTAGTGTAACAAAAGATTTTTTAGCAAGAAAATTTTGTCAAAACTGCACTAAAATTAATAAAATAAAATAAGTTAAGGTCTCGTTAAAGTTACTAAAAGCCATTTAGTGAAAGGAGTTATTCAAACTCTAATGAAAATTACTAACAATTTGTACTAATTACTTCGTTTTTAAAAAAGCTTGTCGGCGAATTAGCGTACAACTGCATTAAAACTGGTTCATATGCATCCAGATCATTAATGCTGTGCTAATTCGCCGACAAGCTTTTTTAAAAACGAAGTATATTAGTACAAATTGTTAGTAATTTTCATAGAGTTTGAATAACTCCTTTCACTAAATGGCTTTTAGTAACTTTAACGAGACCTTAACTTATTTTATTTTATTAATTTTAGTGCAGTTTTGACAAAATTTTCTTGCTAAAAAATCTTTTGTTACAC